CCCAGTGGGGACCCCACCTGATCCAGGACACCCTTCAGGGCAAACAGCCGGCCCCACCCATGAACCAGGCCTCTATCCTATATAGTAAAAGGGTAATAATGCCTCCGGCACCGGATCAGCGGAGCTGCGAGGCCTCCCAGCACCGGGATCAGCGTGACAGGGAGCAGCGCCCAAACTCCCTGATCGCCCTGCGGCTCTGTGTGTGACAGGGGGCGGGGCCACAACCTCCCTATCTGCCCTGCTCTGTTCGTGACAAGGGAAGGCGCCCCAACCCCCTGATCAGCCCTGCTCTGTGTGTGACAGGGTGCAGCGCCCCAACCCCCTGATGGGCCCTGCTCTGTGCATGACAGGGGGCAACGCCCCAACCCCCTGATTGGCCCTGCTCTGTGCGTGACAAGGGTGGCGCCGCAACTTCCCTATCGACCCTGCCTTGAGTGTGACAGAGGGCGGTGCCCCAACCCCCCAATCGGCTCTACCCTGAGCTTGACTAGGGGTGGCACTGCAACCTCCCAATCCGCCCTGCTCTGTGCATGACAGGGGGCGGCACCCCAACTCCCCAATCGGCCCTGCTCTGAGCCCCACCAGGGGCTGCACCTAGGGATTGGGCCTGCCTTCTGCCACCCGGGAGCAGGCCTAAGCCAGCAGGTCATTATCTTCTGAGGGGTCCCAGACTGCGAGAGGGCACAGGATGGGCTTAGGGACCCCCTTCCCCACCCCCGAGTGCACAAATTTTTGTGCACCGGGCCTCTAGTTTTATATAATCCTTGTTGCTTATCTTAAAACCTCTCAGTTCCTTCTCCTATCCTATCCCCAACTCTAGGCAGGTATTAGGATAATACTCACATGTCTGTAAAACACTCTGAGATCCTTGGCTAGAAGGCAGCTCTGTGTAGAAGCAAAAGTATTTTGTTTTAGTGTTTGTCCATTGACCCATGAAGCAATTGTCTGGGATTGGGAACACACAAAATATTTACCTTGTTTAGCTTTTTTTCTTTTATAGTTAATTACAATGAGTACCACTGATAAGAGTAGGAGTGCCAAGAAAACCAACGGGATCAACACCATCAGTATAAGCTCTAGCTGAGTATCCTCCTCACCAATGATGGTATAATTCTCATATTCTGTGGTTGCTATTTCTGTGGTCAGTGCAGCAATTGTACTTATAACAGGAGTATCTTCATCTGTAGGTTCCGCTTTCTGGGTGACATCTGTTGACTCACCTTCTGACTCTTCTGCTGCCTCAGAAGAAGGCAGTTCTGACTCTGTGAGAACACACACACAAAATTGAGATCGCCATGGAGACAAAGCTAGTAAGTTATGTTTTCAATGATTTTTTAAAAAATTTTTTCTACATGCATCCAGTGGTAAACTTGATTTCCTGAATTGGGCCTTCCAGTTCAGAGTGACACAGAGTTTTGAAGTAACATAAATGGAGCTCAAGCTGGGAGTACATTGAACATGGAATCAGAGTCCAGATAAACCTCCCACAAATGCAGGCAGTTTAGCCTTGACCGATACTTTAGACACATTTCATCAAAGGCATTAAAAACCTTTGCCCTGTCATGGGTGATATTCCAAGACACCTCCTATAGCAGTGATGGCGAACCTCTTGAGCTCGGCATGTCAGCATTTTGAAAAATCCTAACTTAACTCTGGTGCCGTGTCACATATAGAAAATTTTTGATATTTGCAACCATAGTAAATCAAAGATTTATATTTTTGATATTTATTTTATATATTTAAGTGCCATTTAACAAAGAAAAATCAACCAAAAAAATGAGTTCGCGTGTCACCTCTGATACGTGTGTCATAGGTTCACCATCACTGTCCTATAGGGTATCATATTTTAATAACATTTCTGAATAAATCAAAGCCCACATGTACTGTAGGTACTTGCCACATAACACTGAAAGGTAGGTACTTGCCACATAACACTTTTAATAAAAGGTTACCTATCAATGGAAAAGAATTTTTTGAAATTGCGGCCACTGCTTCGATTTCAGCGTCAGGGCTCACATGCTGCAGAGAAACGTGTCTGCCTCTGAGATTATCTGACAGAAATCCTCCTGGATTCTAAATAAAAATACAATGTGTACTTTCTTTGTAAAGTGAAATTCTCAAGGGGAATTTAGAGACTAAAGAAATGGTACCAATATTTAAATTTATTTAGTAAAATGAACTTCCCCTATATAGAAACTCTAAGCAAGTTAATTCTGTTTGAACGTCAGATTGTGTTGGAAAACCATCCTGCGTTTCATTACAGCACAGGAAAGGACTATTACTTGGAAGCTCTTTCCTCGCCTGCCTATGTGGTGGTCATGGGTAGGTGGGCTAAAGGTTTTCACCCTGTCATGTTACAATGTTGCCTATCATTCAGATGGGGCCCGTTGAGGAAAATAGAATGTGAGTTTAGGCTACAGAACATGTATCGAATGAGTTAATTTTTGTGAAAGCTCTTTCTAAGGTGTTATGAAAATGGAAAAGTTGGCTGTTTTCTTTTTTTTTCTTTTTTTCTTTTTTTTCTCTTTTTTTTTCCTTTTTTTTTCTTTTTTTCTCCTTTTTTTTTTCAACTCAGTCTTAAAATTATTTCTTCAAAGAAAGGCTGTTTTAAACTATGCCCTGTTACTACAGGCTAGACCAGTGCTCCATAGAATGACCTAGCTCCGTGATCGGCAAACTGCGGCTTGGCAAACCGCAGCTCGCAAGCCACATGCGGTTCTTTGGCCCCTTCAGTGTGGCTCTTCCACAAAATACCACGTGCGGGCGTGCACGTACAGTGCGATTGAAACTTCGTGGCCCATGCGCAGAAGTCGGTATTTTGTGGAAGAGCCGGTATTTTGTGGAAGAGCCACACTCAAGGGGCCAAAGAGCCGCATGTGGCTCGCGAGCCGCGGTTTGCCGAGCTGCAGTTTGCCGACAGCAGAGGCAATCCAGTACCTTGTCTAGATGCATAACTGTTTGACAACAGATTCCTCCGACTTGATTTATAAAACCTTTGTTTGATCCCAGTCTAATTATTTTGGTTATCTAATCTAATAATAGACAAACAGGGTAATTGACTGTACCTTCACTACGCCTCCCATTGGCTAATCAGCAAGATATGCAAATTAACCAACAAAGATGGCGGTTAATTTGCATACGCGGCTCAGGCCGGAGCAGCGAAGGCGCTGAAGGTGGCTCTGGCCGGAGCGAAGGCCTGGGTGCCGGGTGCCGGAGGAAAACCGATGCTGGCAGCCAGGGGAAGGGAAGGCCTATTGCACGAATCTTTTCGTGCAACAGGCCTCTAGTATATATATAAACATTTCCGTTTTCCCCAAGACCAGGGAATCCACTTGATAATCACATGAGTGATCAATGCAATGACAAACTGCAGGATATAACTAACTGGTATTCCTCACCTGAATGTACCAAAAGCAGGATTAAAAAAAATCTACCATTTATTGACCTCTGCCTTCTGGATTAAGTGACTTTGTTCTATATTTATGTCTTTGAAATAAAGTAAGTCAATACTATATTCACTCAAGCTTTGATATCTCACATATCATCCTGGGTCAGGAAAAGATATTTGTCTACCAGGGCAATGTCCTCATTAATCTCATTCGCTTGCAGGACTGCTAGAACCAAACTGCATTCTTTACTGAAAATCCAGGCCACTGAAGACCTGACCAAGGGGGTGGGGGCTATGGGGGAGGGGTACATACACAAGTGGAGTTGGTGGTACTGACCCTTTTCCTTGAGGTCAGTGCTTATGGATCTTTCTCAAACACCCAGATTTCCCTTTTATTTCTTTTGCTGTCTTCTGCTGCTACCATCCCAATCTAACCTTTGTAAAGAACTTACTAAGAGCCCAGCCCTGTGCTCTGCCTTTTAACTGGATGAATTCGTTTTGTTCTCACCACTTTTTCAGATAGAAACTGGGGCAAAGAGGTTACAGGACTTGCCCATGATCACAGAGCTATCATGGAGGAGTGAGGGTGTGAACCTAGGAGGGCTGATCGATGAACCTGGCTGGAATGTAATGATTACAAGTCACGAAGTGGTGAACAAGAGAGGGGACCTCCTTTTCTTGCCCATCCGTTTCTAAGGAGGTGGCTGCCTGGCTTACAGGGCAAGGGAGAGGAAGGGTTCCCAGAAGCCTCGGCTTTGCCAGAGCTCTCGCTAGGCTTCTCAGCCCAGACCCCTGTGAACAAAGCTGCCCAGATGCAGGGTCTTCCCAGTGCCTCTCCAAGGAAGGCCAGCAAGTTCCCAGTGGAACACCCAGCACGCTCAGTCACCACTTGACCCGTGGCCCCAGAAGAAATGAAAATAGGAAAATAAATAGGCTAGCAGGGAAAATGAGGGCTTTCTGATGATAGGAAATGAAGCAGAATCGGAAAGAAGGGCAGCAGCTGGTCCTGGGTTGTGTACATTTATTTTTCAGCATGGGAGACAATGCTGGTCACTGGTGGCCATTAGTGGCCTTTTTGAGTGAAAGGGGCCAGAACTTCTCTCTACAATATCCCTCTCACATGTATGTTTTCCATGTTAAACGTCATTTACTCAATAAGATTCTCTAGTGGCTGAATAAATGAGAATCAAGTCTCTCTCTCTTCTTTACTCTGCAAGCCTTCATCTCCAGACTCTCCTATGACGACCTTCCTCACCGCTCTCCCTGCCCAAACCCTCCACAATAGCCTCAAAGTAATAAACAACAGCCACTGGCATTTATCGAGTGCTTAGTATGTGCTAGGCACTAGGATAAACATGTTCTAATTTAATCTTCACAACTTTCTTGTTCACATTTTTAAAAATATATTTTTATTAATTTCAGAGAGGAAGGGGGGGGAGAGAGAGAGAAACATCAGTGATGAGAGAGAATCATTGATTGGCTGCCTTCTGCACATCCTCTACTGGGGATTGAGCCTGCAACCCGGGTATGTGCCCTTGATCGGAATTGAACCCGGGATCCTTCAGTCCGCAGGGCCAGCGCTCTATCCACTGAGCCAAACCAGCTAGGGCTCTTGTTCACATTTTATAGTGTGAAGAAACTGAGTCTTGAATGTCTCGGGCTGGAGTATAACACGGTCATTTATGCTGTAAGTCCCACTGATACGTAGGTCTTGACTCTGCAATCCCTCGAGCATAGGTGCCCAGTGACAGTGAGGGGCTTAGTCATTGCTCTTCACTTAGTAATTGTGGGAATTTGGACAAATTATTTAATCCTTAATGATAATGTCCTAATCTGTGCAACAGGAGTGATCCCCAAGGTCCCATCTATCTCCACATCTTTATGTTGATTCTAAAGCCTCGATCTTGTTTTTCATTAGAATTTTTGAATAGGTGCTGTACACATGGTACTAAGCTCAGCAAGGAAATTTCACTACCACCCTTTCCCCAGTTTATTACCTTCCCCAGAGATAACCACTGTTTCTGCTGCCTTCCCAAGAAACTCTGTGCCTATACAAGTATCGTTTCTTGTTTTATTAACACAAATGGTAGCTAAAGAAGTTAAATCTTGTTCTGCCTCTTGTTTATTTCACTTAAAATTTGACTCAAAGATTCTTCCATGTCTGCATATAGAAAGCTGTCTTCTGTTACTTGGAAGTATCATAACGTATTCCTATTAATAGAGATTTAGGTAATTTCTTTGTATTTTTAATGATGCTACAACAAACAGCCCTGTACACCCTCCAGTTTACACATTTGCAAGTATTTTCTGCAGTGTATCTCAAGAGTGGGGGCCCCAGAGAAGAGGGTGTTGGATGTAGTGGGAAGGGAAACAGCACCAAACTACTCTTGGTGGTCTGCTCTCACAACTTCTCCAAGACCACTCTAGCTCAGTCGTCATACAAGAGAACGGGCAGAGATGAAGTCAGGAAAAGGCTGGGTAAGCAGGGAGTCTATGATGGGAAAGAGGGAGAAGTTGTAAACATTGGGGATCAGCCCCGAGAATTTGTGCCAGAAGCATCAAATGTCCTCAAAGGGGAACAGGAAAACCAGGTGGGCCATAGAATCAAATCAGTAATCAGGAGGACAAAGGTGAGAGGAAGAAAAGCAGAGGTGGACAAAATCAAGGTGGAAACAAGAGAGGAGGCAAAGTCACATGAGTAGGGATGGGAGTGGAGCTGGCAGAGGGCAGCTGGGGGACTTTTTCCAAAGCATTACAAGTTCCTCCCATGGCCTGTGGGCTAACAGCAACTCTTAACCCAATGGACACGGGACCCTCTGACACTGTGCGGACTAAGACACCAGGGACCCAGTCTTTACCAAGAAACACTTGCTA